AAATGCAAAGTAATGAAACTAGGCAGTGGAAACAGGATGCCAGACACAGGATACAGAATAGGAGATGAAGTACTTAATGAAACAGACAGAGAGAAAGATCTAGGAGTTGATACCACACCAAACCTGTCTCCTGAGCCCACATCAAAAGAATAACGTCTACGGCATATGCGAGGCTGGCTAACATACGAACGGCGTTCAGGAACCTGTGTAAGGAATCATTCAGAATCTTGTACACCACATATGTAAGACCAATCCTGGAGTATGCGGCCCCAGCATGGAGCCCGTACCTTGTCAAGCACAAGACGAAGCTGGAAAAAGTCCAAAGGTATGTCACTAGACTAGTCCCAGAACTAAGAGGCATGAGTCACGAGGAAAGGCTGCGGGAAATGCACCTTACGACACTGGAAGACAGAAGAGTAAGGGGAGACATGATCACAACCTACAAAATCCTGAGGGGAATCGACCGGGTAAACAAGGATAAACTATTCAACACTGGTGGGACGCGATCAAGGGGACACAGGTGGAAACTGAGTACCCAAATGAGCCACAGAGACGTTAGGAAGAACTTTTTCAGTGTCAGAGTAGTTAACAGGTGAAATGCATTAGGCAGTGATGTGGTGGAGGCTGACTCCATACACAGTTTCAAATGTAGATATGATAGAGCCCAGTAGGCTCAGGAATCTGTACACCAATTGATTGACAGGTGAGAGGCGGGACCAAAGAGCCAAAGCTCAACCCCCGCAAGCACAAATAGGTGAGTACACACACACACACACACACACACACACACACACACACACACACACACACACACACACACACACAGGATCACCCTCAAGCCTCTACCCTACACCGTCCAGAAGATTTAGATCTTCTAAAATGAGATCTAAAAGATCTCTTTTTAGAAACAGCTGTGACACGAAGCGGAACAGTGTGTACACCCAGCTGGCTCCCGACCATCTGACGGACCATGAAGATCAACCTTCAACATAAGAAACAAAAATGTTCTTTGTGCTTGTAACAATTAAATATCTACACAAAGAATCCCTGGAATACAATGATTCTTTGTTTCCACAAGTTGACTATTTTTTGGGGTAGATATATCCTAGTTGTATTTGGAAAGGCATTTAAGAGGACAAATAACATTTCTTTAGTGTAATTACTTGAAGGTATACATATACATACATGTATACCTTCAAGTTTACATATTTGGGAGGTAATAAGTGTTTTTTTAGCTTTTATGGGGGGGGGGGGGTTGATCTTACTAATGACCTGAATTGGGGTTTATGTTTGTAACACAAAATTAATTAATGAAATGATCAAATAAGCTTTAGATCATCTTCTCATTCCAGCCTCTCTCTCTCCCCCCATCACCCTTCCATCCCCTGGCCACACCCACAGCCTGCAACAGGACCTATTACGGCAGGATGGGGTCGACCTACACCCTGCAGGTGCCCAGGCCACATCAAGGAGCACTGCCTCACTTCTGCCAGTTGACCTTCATCGCCTCGGGTGACCTCTACGGTGACCTTGTCCAGCTTAGCATCGAGAAGTTCAGCCTGGGAAGGTAAGGGCATGTGTTTGTCGGGGGGGGGGTAGATGTGGGGAGGCAGGTGTTTGGGGGGTAGCTGTGGAGAGGCAGATGTTTGGGGGGGTAGCTGTGGACAGGCAGGTGTTTGAGGGGGTAGCTGTGGAGAGGCAGGTGTTTAGGGGTAGCTGTGGAAAGGCAGGTGTTAGGGGGTACCTGTGTAGAGGCAGATGTTTGGTGTGGTGTCTGTGGAGAGACAGGTGTTTGGGTGATACCTATGCAGAGGCAGATGTTTGGTGTGGTACCTGTGTAGAGAAAGATGTTTGAGGTGATACCTGTGGAGAGGCAGGTGTTGGATGGGGTAGCTGTGGAGAGGCAGGTGTTGGATGGGGTAGCTGTGGAGAGATAGGTGTTGGATGGGGTAGCTATGGAGAGGCAGGTGTTGGATGGGGTAGCTGTGGAGAGGCAGGTGTTGGATGGGGTAGCTGTGGAGAGGCAGATGTTGGATGGGGTAGCTGTCGAGAGGCAGGTGTTGGATGGGGTAGCTGTGGAAAGGCAGGTGTTTGGGGGTAGCTGTGGAAAGGCAGGTGTTTGGGGGTAGCTGTGGAAAGGCAGGTGTTTGGGGTGATATCTGTGGAGAGGCAGGTGTTGGGTGGGGTAGCTGTGGAGAGGCAGGTGTTGGGGTTAGGAGTAGGTAGGTAAGTAGTTTCATAGGAGACAGATATTGGAGTCCTCAACATGTGTGGTGTAGCATCGTTGTCCCTTATACGTGTAGAAACAGGAATCTCCTGAACAAATCCACAAGGGCCGTGACGAGGATTCGAACCTGCGTCCGGGAGCATCCCAGACACTGCCTTAATCTCCTGGCTTCCCCAATAAGCAACATTCTCACTCACAGACGTCCACATACACGCTCAAATGTGGTGTATATAGTGTCGATATATATATATATATATATATATATATATATATATATATATATATATATATATATTATTAAATATGACCGAAAAAGTAAGATTAATAATTCTAACACGAATTTTCTCAATCTTTCGTACATTACGCTTCACTGTTGGAGGTAAATCAAAAATCACTTCTCCAAAATTCATTTTTATTTCTAGTCTGACGCGACACGGGCGCGTTTCGTAAAACTTATTACATTTTCAAAGACTTCACAAATACACAACTGATTAGAACTTGCGTTTCTCTGATTTTATATCTACATTTGAGTGAGGTGGGAAGGGTGATGTGGCATTAACACAAGACAGAACAATAGGGGATATTAATAGGGTATTAAAAGTATCAACACAAGACAGAACAGAAACAATGGGTATTGAATAGAAGTGTTTGTAGAAAGCCTATTGGTCCATATTTCTTGATGCTTCTATATTGGAGCGGAGTCTTGAGGTGGGTAGAATATAGTTGTGCAATAATTGGCTGTTGATTGCTGGTGTTGACTTCTTGATGTGTAGTGCCTCGCAAACGTCAAGCCGCCTGCTATCGCTGTATCTATCGATGATTTCTGTGTTGTTTACTAGGATTTCTCTGGCGATGGTTTGGTTATGGGAAGAGATTATATGTTCCTTAATGGAGCCCTGCTGCTTATGCATCGTTAAACGCCTAGAAAGAGATGTTGTTGTCTTGCCTATATACTGGTTTTTTTGGAGCTTACAGTCCCCAAGTGGGCATTTGAAGGCATAGACGACGTTAGTCTCTTTTAAAGCGTTCTGTTTTGTGTCTGGAGAGTTTCTCATGAGTAGGCTGGCCGTTTTTCTGGTTTTATAGTAAATCGTCAGTTGTATCCTCTGATTTTTGTCTGTAGGGATAACGTTTCTATTAACAATATCTTTCAGGACCCTTTCCTCCGTTTTATGAGCTGTGGAAAAGAAGTTCCTGTAAAATAGTCTAATAGGGGGTATAGGTGTTGTGTTAGTTGTCTCTTCGGAGGTTGCATGGCTTTTCACTTTCCTTCTTATGATGTCTTCGATGAAACCATTGGAGAAGCCGTTATTGACTAGGACCTGCCTTACCCTACAGAGTTCTTCGTCGACTTGCTTCCATTCTGAGCTGTGGCTGAGAGCACGGTCGACGTATGCTCTCAGATATACAAGGCAGAGAATGAAATCAAAGACAACAAAACGCAACTACTTCATGCTACAAACGAGTGGAGAAATAGCAACATCGACCATAGTATCCGTACCCGCATTGAACAACACCTCGACATCCTCACAAACCAACATCACCTCAGCACTGAAACAAGGATTATCAAGAAACTAACAACATTATATGGAGGACCTATGGCAATTCCACGACCAAGAACCATGAACCTTGCAGGAATTAACCTCACTGAGGACCAAGTCACTCTCCTAAATCTGGGCATAAACTGTCATGTTATGTCCAGACCGAGTGAAATGGCCCGGAAAGTAGAGTTGGAAATTCTGTTGGACGACATATTCGACCTCGAGACACAAAAGAAGGTCACTACCAAAGATACCTTACAAGCAGAACTTATTGCAGAAGGAGGAAAGAATCGAGGCAACTACAGAAGCACCATACTGTCCCCCGAGCTTAAAGCGGCAGCTAAAAGCCTTCGTGAGAACAAGGAGATAGTTGTCAGGAGAGGTGACAAGTCGCCAATATATGTCATTCTTAAAAAAGACGAATATCTGGCGAAAATGAACATCATACTCTCTGACCAAACTAAGTTCCAAAGGGTAACGAAGGACACTACAGCCGAATTAAAAGCAAAGGTCAACAAACTGATCGAAACTGTGAACGCCAAGAAATCCGGACTCCACCTGCCAAAGATCATTGGGGAATATAAACCTGGATATGCGTATGGAAATGTCAAGACGCACAAGCCTGGAAACCCACTTCGGCCAATCATTAGCCAATACCCACACCCACGTACAGACTGGCGAAGCGACTCAACGGCCTGCTGACTCCTTATGTTCCTTGCGCCTTCAGCCTGAAGTCTCCAAAGGAATTTGTGGACTTACTGCGGGGCGCACGGGCCACAGGGATAAGAGCCTCGTTGGACGTAGAATCGCTGTTTACCAACGTACCTGTGGACGAGACAATCGGAATGATAGCCGACAGAGTGTATCGTGATCCAGCCTGTACTCCTCTTGACATGCCAGAAAGTATTCTGAGGAAACTACTCCAAGCTTGTACTAAAGAGGCACCCTTCTTGAGCCCGGATGGGCACATGTATAAGCAAGTAGATGGGGTCGCCATGGGTTCTCCCCTAGGTGTCCTGTTTGCAAACTTCTACATGGGTACCATCGAGCAAAAAGTCTTAGTCGACATGAACTTGAAACCGGCCATATACTGCAGGTATGTTGACGACATTTTTACACAGGTACCTGATGTCAGACATCTGCAGGAGCTGAAGGAGGCATTTGAGCAGAGTTCCGTGCTGCGTTTCACTTACGAGACGGAAAAGGATGGGAAGCTGCCTTTTCTAGATGTAACAGTCATGGAAAAGGGCGGAGGTTTCCACACTGCAGTCTACACTAAGGAAACAACATAGGAATGTGCCTAAATGCCAACAGCGACTGCCCTGACAGGTACAAGAGGAGTGTTGTTAACGCATACGTCGACCGTGCTCTCAGCCACAGCTCAGAATGGAAGCAAGTCGACGAAGAACTCTGTAGGGTAAGGCAGGTCCTAGTCAATAACGGCTTCTCCAATGGTTTCATCGAACACATCATAAGAAGGAAAGTGAAAAGCCATGCAACCTCCGAAGAGACAACTAACACAACACCTATACCCCCTATTAGACTATTTTACAGGAACTTCTTTTCCACAGCTCATAAAACGGAGGAAAGGGTCCTGAAAGATATTGTTAATAGAAACGTTATCCCTACAGACAAAAATCAGAGGATACAACTGACGATTTACTATAAAACCAGAAAAACGGCCAGCCTACTCATGAGAAACTCTCCAGACACAAAACAGAACGCTTTAAAAGAGACTAACGTCGTCTATGCCTTCAAATGCCCACTTGGGGACTGTAAGCTCCAAAAAAACCAGTATATAGGCAAGACAACAACATCTCTTTCTAGGCGTTTAACGATGCATAAGCAACAGGGCTCCATTAAGGAACATATAATCTCTTCCCATAACCAAACCATCGCCAGAGAAATCCTAGTAAACAACACAGAAATCATCGATAGATACAGCGATAGCAGGCGGCTTGACGTTTGCGAGGCACTACACATCAAGAAGTCAACACCAGCAATCAACAGCCAATTATTGCACAACTATATTCTACCCACCTCAAGACTCCGCTCCAATATAGAAGCATCAAGAAATATGGACCAATAGGCTTTCTACAAACACTTCTATTCAATACCCATTGTTTCTGTTCTGTCTTGTGTTGATACTTTTAATACCCTATTAATATCCCCTATTGTTCTGTCTTGTGTTAATGCCACATCACCCTTCCCACCTCACTCAAATGTAGATATAAAATCAGAGAAACGCAAGTTCTAATCAGTTGTGTATTTGTGAAGTCTTTGAAAATGTAATAAGTTTTACGAAACGCGCCCGTGTCGCGTCAGACTAGAAATAAAATGAATTTTGGAGAAGTGATTTTTGATTTACCTCCAACAGTGAAGCGTAATGTACGAAAGATTGAGAAAATTCGTGTTAGAATTATTAATCTTACTTTTTCGGTCATATTTAATAATATATGTCTACAGGAAAGACTGCTACCAAAATATACTAATATATATATATATATATATATATATATATATATATATATATATATATATATATAGAATATTATTGTGTCGAAGCTCACCTCTCGGCGCCTGCACAGGCTGGCCATTCATCACCCAGCCATACCGGCTGAAGTTAGACAAGTCAGAGGCTGCTCTAGCACCACTCATATATAACAACAGCTATCCAGCTTACGGGCTATTCATGCCCGTGCCACCTCTTGGGTGGCTTAATCTTTATCAATCACCAGCTTACGTTCAAGAATACGTCCTTTTATTTTTGTAGCGTGTGTGTGTGACTGTGTGTGTGTGTGCGTGTACTCACCTATTCACCTATTTGTGCTTGCAGGATCGAGCATTGACTCTTGGATCCCGCCTTTCCAGCTATCGGTTGTTTACAGCAATGACTCTTGTCCCATTTCCCTATCATACCTAGTTTTAAAAGTATGAATAGTATTTGCTTCCACAACCTGTTCCCCAAGTGCATTCCATTTTCCCACTACTCTCACGCTAAAAGAAAACTTCCTAACATCTCTGTGACTCATCTGAGTTTCCAGTTTCCACCCATGTCCCCTCGTTCTGTTATTATTACGTGTGAACATTTCATCTATTTCCACTTTGTCAATTCCCCTGAGTATTTTATATGTCCCTATCATATCTCCTCTCTCCCTTCTTTTCTCTAGTGTCGTAAGGTTCAGTTCCTTCAGCCGCTCTTCATATCCCATCCCTCGTAACTCTGGGACAAGCCTCGTCGCAAACCTCTGAACCTTCTCCAGTTTCTTTATTGTGTGTGTGTGACTGTGTGTGTGTGTGTGTGTGTGTGTGTGTGTGTGTGCGTGTACTCACCTAGTTGTGTTTGCGGGGGTTGAGCTCTGGCTCTTTGGTCCCGCCTCTCAACCGTCAATCAACAGGTGTACAGATCGTGTGTGTGTGTGTGTGACTGTGTGTGTGTGTGTGACTGTGTGTGTGTGTGACTGTGTGTGTGTGTGTGTGACTGTGTGTGTGTGACTGTGTGTGTGTGTGTGTGTGACTGTGTCCGTGTGTGTATGTGTGTGTGTGTGTGTGTGACTGTGTGTGTGTGTGTGTGCCCAAGCTGCTCTGATACTGACTAGTAAATGCCTTGGTGTATGTTAAATTATATTTTCTTAACAAGTTATCATATAAAGAATAAAAAACTCTGAGTTCATTGTCATTTTTCAATATTAGCTGCAACGAAATATTTCCACAGGCCTTCTAGCAGGAAGATATAAATAAACATACACAACAGTGAGGCTTATAATCCACGACTCCACCTAATTATTATGATAATAAGAGCACCTATAATATGAATCATAAGTGAAACGGTAGAAAATGATGAACTAAGCAGCCGATGCCCCAAACACTGCTAGCAGCCACTAATCCAGGTTGTTGCTAGTAACCTCTAATCCATGTTTGTGTTGCAGGTTTCTGTCGCACACGGCTGCTGGGTGCCCGGATGGTCACATGCAGATCGAGGAGCTGAGTCGTCCTCTGAACGCCGGGTACTGGTGCGGGACCTCGTGGGGCCACAATGTTTACTACTCGGAGACCACCGCCATCAACCTCATGCTCAGGGTCTTCAACATCAGCAACACCAACCAGGGCGTGACCAACCCTGGCTCTTTCCTCCCGCAGCAGGACACCGTTATGCTGCGTCTCTCTTACAGATTCCTGCGCAAAGAGAGAGCCATCTTGCGCTACGGGGCGCCCTATAGTCCCAGCTACAGGGGGGAAGATCTCCCGAACTCCTTCTGCGACAAGTCCTTCGAGAACTGTGACAAGTTGAACTGCAAGATACAGTCGCCCAACTTCCCCGGGATGTATCCGCGCAACCTCACTTGTTACTACCACATTCACCAAACACGCGTCCCCGACGGCAAGGTGGCGCTGGTGTCCGTGTACCAGCGCAACCCTCACCTTATATACATCAAGGACCGCAATGCGCCACATTTGTCCCGGGAGCGGCGCCTGGAGGTAGGCGCCTCCTGCCACATCCTCCACGACTACCTGGTGGCCTTCGACGGCAACACGACCCGCGCGCCAGTCCTGGCCAAGCTGTGTAAGGGAGGAGCGCCACTCTCAAGGCTCATCGCCAGCGGGCCTGACATGCTGCTCCTCTTCCATGTCTCACCCTTCGACTTTCCTTTCCAGGACTCTCCTCGACGTCGAACTTTCGGCTTCGAACTAGACGTCGCGGTGGAGTTTGTGGACCGTGAGTCGACAGCTTATGTCCGCAGAGGGTCAGAGTGCGAGTACGAGTCGAGCAGTCAGGGGCAGCGTAGTGGGTATGTGCAGGCATCTGCCCACTCCCTGCTGCCCAACACCACCTGCAGCTGGAGACTGCTGGCCAGCACCACAGAGATCGTCTGGCTCTACTTCCTTCACTATCGTCACGTGACCCACCCAGAGATGCCCAAACCTGCTCAGTGCCCCAACACCCTCAGTATCTTCAACGGGGACGCGGTCCCCAGTCTCGACACCAACAGCAGCACTCTGCTGCTCGGGAGGTTCTGCAAGCCGGACAAACTGCCCCGGGTGTGCAGTGGTGTGCACGCCCCGGGGCCCTTCTCTGCACCCTGCTCCCCTCAGGAGAGCTACGTGTCCACGTTACCTGCCATGACCTTGTCACTACGTTATGCTGCTGGTACAGCTCCCTCGCACGTAGAGTTCCTTGCTCGGTATGAGTTCGTCGACACCCGACAGTGGGGTATTCCGACCCTCGATGGAGGTCCCTGTGACCGCACCTTCAGCATGCGGCCAGATCGCCTGTTCGCATCTCCCAGGGACGTGTTCATGTTCGGTCGAGGTGGCGCCAAGAGGCTGCGCTGCGTCTACGTTTTCCAGGTGGCGCCATATCAGCGGGTGTCAGTGAGGATCCTGCGCGCCAAGATGGGGCCCGAGTGCACCACAGTGTATCGTAACTCGTCACGGCGCCACGAGTGCTCACATGGAGGAGAGGCAGGATACCCAGCCATCAAGCTCAGTGAGGAACCTTGGCCCAATGTGCAGGTTGAACGTGCCTGCCTCTGCAACGTCTCCAATGGACGGGCCTTCAACCTGGTGTCTTACACGAACACGATACAGCTCACTTTCAGCGTGCCATACATGTCTCCAACAAACGACTACAATGATTTTTACTTCGAGGGAGAATATGCCGTGACGGAGGCGCCACCGGAGGTGACCGAGGGTTGCAACGAAACGACGCGCCACCTGGGCGGCAGGTATGGCAACTTTACAGTGGGGGCGGGCCGAGGGGAGCTGTGTGCCTCCCTGCCTCGCTTCATCACTGCAACCGACGCCTCTTTCATATTCCTACGTGTCCGAGGCTTCGCTGCCACGGAGGATAACTGCAAAGTCGCCTCCCGGATCAACGTGTACGCCGCCGGCGGAGCCACGCCTCTGGCTTCCATCTGCCCCGAGCGGCGGGACGTGTACACGCATGTCTTTAGTAGCGGTTGGGAGGACTATGAGTTCCAGTTTCAATACGACGAGGACCCTTTTTTGTTCCAGAACGCCAGCACGTTCAACGCCACCGTCGCCACCTACGTCGAGGACCACGACCAGCCAGAGCCTAAGCGCCTGGAATCACGTGACCTCTTTGTGGAATATGTCGGCAATTACTCTGGTCGCTTTTTAGTGACGTGGATCGGAATTTGGCGGCCATTAAAAATGCCCTCACTGGTGGCTGCCGCCATCGACCCCTGCCCCCACCGGTGCCCGGATATTGCGGCGTGTTTGCCCAAGGAGCTCTGGTGTGATGGTGTTGCCCACTGTCCCTCTGGCTCAGACGAGGGAGCAGCCGCATGTGGTCTGCTGGCCACGTTGCCCTGGGTGTATCTAGTAGCAGCTGGTGTCCTACTTCTGTCGTTAGTGTCGCTGTTCATCGCTGTGGTAGTGCACTGGCGGCAGGATCGCACCCAGAAGGTGGTGGTGGAGGCGGCGAGGTCTGCCGTCAACAACGGGACTGGACTCAAAAGTACTACGCAAGACCTGCTCCTCCCGCCCGAGAACAACGACACCTGGTGACAACGAGCCCATTCTGACGACGTCGTCTGTATTGACTACGAGACCACCGTGTGAGACTCTGTGATTCCCTAGGTCCCTCCTGCCATCCACCTGCAGCAGCCTTCGCCAGTCCACCACCCCACAGACAGGTGCTTACAGTAGATTCACAGGTGCTTCGTGCACCTGTCCCACCTCACCTGTTAGACGCGTGTGACATAATAGGCCAGAGGAAGACAGTCCCACGTGTGTGTGCGCCATGGCATAATAGTGGGAACTTGTAATCCAAGTTGATCAGATTTAGGCAGACTAATATCAGCTACCAAGGCAGCTGTGGCAATAAATGGCAAGTTAGATGTAATTAAGAAGTCAGAACAATATATTTATAGGTAACATTAGGCAAATTGTGCCATGGAGAGGTTTAGGCAAATTTTCGATATAGAAAGGCATACTTATGACGGCGAAGCCAGCAAACGCAGTCGAATGCTTCAGAAATCATCAAGCGTGTAGATCTGTACGACAAGTGACTGAAACGTTGGGATCTCCAGAGGGAGCAACACAAATTGAACTTGTGGTCTAGGGTTCGACTCCTGAGGCCCAGATAGCAAGCATGGTAGCGACTGAGGGCGGGGAATGTAGTGGGGTGAGAAGTTTGCTAGGAATTCGTCGAAGGAGGGAGGAGCAGGAACGTGCAAGCATAATGGACGGTAGGGATTGGTGGAAGAGAGGGATAGGAACAGGTAGGAATAGAGGTAGGTGGGGGACAGGGGCAGACAGGCAGCAATGGTGGCAGGGAGCCAGGCAGCAATGGTGGCAGGGAGCCAGGCAGCAATGGTGGCAGGCAGGGAGACAGGGCAGCAGCTGTACGCACACACTTTACTGCCAAGGTCCACCATGTCAACACGGACGCCGACGCCAGGATGGGTCGCCGTCGTCGCCACCTTCACAACTGGCTTTACGAACATACAATCTTCTCGTCCCCTTTACTCTCCTTCCCCTCTCATCACCCTTCACCCTTCCTCCCTCTCCCTCTCTCTCTCTCTCTCTCTCTCTCTCTCTCTCTCTCTCTCTCTCTCTCTCTCTCTCTCTCTCAATTCCTCCCTGCCATTCCCC